GTGCGTTTTACGTGTATTCACGATGAAGTTCGCCATCTTGCGCCGCTTCGCAGCGCTATACGATCTTTGATTGTGACTTACCTGGACTCATGAGGAAGACATTCACGTATATATGCATGTAGGAAATTCAGGTGTGTAAAAGGAATATTTTTTTTCAGAATGCAAAGATTACAAATATGCATCGTAAATATTGCCATGTTAACAATGAATGCTGAAATTAATGGAAATGAACATCTGTATTAATTTCTTATAGCAATGTTATTCAGTGCCCCGAAAGCCGTCTCAAAGTTTTACTTCAACTTTATTTTCATTCTTCAATTCCCTGTTTTTCTTACCAATTGATTGGAAGATTTTTGGCTGATAGCTTCCCTTGGCTATGTGTAAGTACATGAACGTTCGGCACAGAGAATAAGATGAAAATATAAAAGACAGAGAAACAATGGAAACTCAGATATCAGTTCAAGAAGTGAGTTAGACGTGTGGCCCACTGACGCGGCTGTCATTGGCTGTTCATTTTCACGATGCTTACACTCTGTTGTTGATGCCAGTCTGTATCATTCACAGACAACCACTCACCTGTTAGTGGTTGATGGCAATAGACAATTGTTCGTCAGTCGAAGTGGTCTGTTTCGGTAAAGGAGTGGTCTGATGATGAATCATATGTGTTTGTGGTTGAGTGTATAGTAAAAGAAAATGTGAACTGGAGGAAAGGTGGCGAAGGTGGCAGGGATAAGACCAGCAGATGCTGTGCTGAAATTACCGTCATGAAAAGAGTCCACACTCATGCAAGGTGTCCGAGCCTAATACGTGACTAGCATTGAAACGAGCCCAGCCAATTTGTGCTGTATTTGTCTCGTTCCCCAAATCTACAGCAGCAAAGTTATTGAGCCTGAGCACCATGGGGTCTCTGACCATGTTTTCAGTCATCCTTAAAGGAAAATGGAACTACGTGTACTTTGAATCCCCTGCCCAACAGAAAGCATGCGACCCAAACTTTCAAACAATAGCATGTTTCCCGACTCACTTTCTTTACCTACCGTCTGAGACGAAGACATTACGACGCAAACTCCGTTCGCCGCTATAGTCGCCAATATTGATCGGATCTGATAAATGGGCGTTAATTGATAAACAGAGAAGCTGATGAGGAAAAATGAGGGTTTCGGTATGGGATGGAGTCACCGTTACCCGAACTTCAGTGAAAAGCGACTAGCACCTGTCGCGGCGCTTGTAGTTCGGTCGCCGTCTACTTCATGTAATGACAGCTGGAGTTAACCTGCGGCAGAAATGGTGGGTTTATTTGTATGGAGTGATGATTGACATGAACGTGGTCCACAGGGCTGACTCATGACTCACCAAAGTGGTTCCTCCATGAGGTACTACGTAACATTTCTTCACTTTGAAACTTTTGAAGCCTGTATCGGTAGCCATTATCCGACCCCGTAATTAGATACACGGTAAGTTTTCTTCCAGTATGCGATGCCATTTCTGATAAGGAATTACTGTATTCCATCTGATGTCATATTTTCACACCCTAAACTTTAAGCTCAAATTTGCTTCATTCACTTTCATTCATTTCGAAAGAATTCAGAAACACTTTTTCTTATGATACTTGTAAACGGTTGATCTTCGATGTTGCATGGTTTAAAGAGATGTTACGTTCGCACCTCCAACTTACCAAAGGTTGTTGTAAACGCACAAATTTTACAATGAATTCTTGCAGTGCACAATTGTCGGTTAGTGCTTCTATTGTAATCATGACTTGCATGCTGGGATGGGATTAGGGGGTGTGATCCATGCTAAACATACCGTCCGACTGAAACATGTTAAGGTCTAAAGGCTTCTCTCCTTCTCGAACCCCAACCCTGATTCGTGCAGGACCTAAACGTACATGCATGGACAAACTCAAACAGTTAGTAACAAAGCCGTCTTGTATGTAACGACCCAACTACAATGGGAGAATTTGAGAGGCTTGGTGGCGACAAAAATACCATTCCTTTTTACCAGTTGTGAGCATGCGCGCGTTGTTTTGAGCATGCGTGCATAGTTCAGAGCGCGCGCAATACCTTAAAAAAGGACCGGAATGTCTGCTGCCACCAGTGTCTCAAAGTCTCTCATGAGGGCACGTCTGGTTTTCTTGGTACATGTACCTCCTGGACCGTGTCAAGTGAATGGAGAAAGCTTTGTGGACAAGCAATGCTTTGTCTTGAAGCATTTGAAGTTGTGGGAAGAAATGGCAGCCGGTTGCATGTGGTCAGAGCTGTTTACAGAGAGAGTTGCGACACGATGTCTCAATTGTTGGAACCAAAATGGCGGAGTGCACACTGAATTAGCTCAGCTAGCATCCATTGTGGTTCCAAAGTCTGAAGTTGGCGCTACTCTCTCTATATATACAGCTCTGCATTGTGGTTGTCGAGATGTATCATCTTACCATCGGACAGAAACGTATTTATTTGCAAGGGTTTGTGTCTGGCTATGCCTGTATCCTTACTCTGAGAAAACCAAACCGGCCCTGTCAGGGATTTGTTGAAGGTGAAGAAAGTAACGGTTGAAACGAGTGACATAAAGTGCATCAACCAGATCGTCATACTAAGGCAAATTATCAAGGCGTTTGCTTAGTAGTTCAACGAAAAGATAACTTCATCAGATGGATTCTGTCAATTGCATTTGTAATCATATTCCACGGACGCATCAAATGGTCAGAGACTCAGGATTCGTATTTTGGGGCCGGTAGCTGATTCCACTGCCAAGCTCTCATTCTTCTGCAGCTAAGGAAAGAACAGTGAGTCTACAAACTGCAGCAAAAATTATGTACATGTACTCAGAAGTGTCAGGAAATTCCACCTTGGCGGTAAACAAAAGGAAATAGGCTTGCAATATTTTCATTCAGATTTATGGACTACAATACAGACTTCAGATTAGCACTGAAAATGAGGGAAGTCGAAGTTTGCTTTCAGTTTGTGGTTCCGGTTTCTATTCACTTCTTTCTTGAAAAGAAAGGACTGGATCGGGCTCTGTTTCAATCACAACCAGATGATTGTTCTTACTAGAGTTTGTAACGCCCAGATCAGTAACTGTTATTAACTTATCAACTGTACCACAAAAGTGGTTTAATATTGCCATCTTTTTTGTTTTGTTTTTTCTGCCATATTTTCTGTAGATTAGGATTCCCTTCCGGTCAATCAAAATCCTGTTGAAAGAAGGCATCAACAAACAAACAGAGACTAAAACAAATTAAAGGTAGGTCTTAATTTTTTTTCGTCTCTTCATCTGATCTTTCACAGTGATACATAGCTTGCGTTTGAGAGCATTGAAACTTTTATTTTGTAAGCCAAAACTTTAACAATGAAGACTTTGGATGGTGGTTATACAAGTTGCAGGGGCCAGGGAAAATACTCAAATTTCTTTGTTTCACTAGGCTTAAATTGTTCCCCTGACATCAGACCGTACTACTTCACGGCAACGCAGTCAGTTAATGTTACCCACCCCTTGCCAAAGATTATGTTCAAAAAGGGGCACTTCAGATTGGTGTATATAAGAAATACAAGAGTCCTGACCTTCATGGACATTGAGGAAGTGACCAATGCCATGTCCAGTTCCATGGTTGTACTCCAGACCGCCTGACCACAGCTGGTTCCTCGCAATCGAATCAATGTCACGCCCTTTTCAACGGAAAATGGTATCTTTTCATTTAAAACTTTTACTTTTTGTGAGGTTGTGTACTATTCATGTGTGTGTGAGGCCAAGAGGGTTGTATTTTTCGTGTTTTTTTTAATTTGGGATGTTTGGGTATTCTCAAAATAAAAGACTCCATTTCGACAGTATATTGTGACATGATTAGCAACAGATATGCTTGTTGATGTATTGCCATGACAACTACAATGCAATCTTGGAGACTACTATAGCTGAACCCCTGCCCTACACGTCAACACTCTTCACTGCCTCATTATCTTGTGGAATCAGAAGTCAGAATGAGATGCATGTTTCACATTTAGAAACTTCGAACTGCTTGGCACAAAATCATGCCCTTACGTACCATAAATACCAGTACGGAACACTGCCATGGCTAGATCAATGCTTCCAAGCAGTACTCTGGTGTAAGCTTCCTGTAGACCGATAGAAATAGTCACTGTACGTCACCTCGTCAATGACGACTTCTTAAACTTTCTCCTCGAATGTAAGACTGCCCTTAGTTTAAAACTGAAATAAACTGAAATTTACAATTCAAACGCTTGGGTGCAAATGTAGGTCTTTGGGGCAGACATCCCAGCCTTTTTACCTCAAGTATTGATGAACTTATTTGCATGTTTGATTTGGTTGCCGGTAACGTCATTACTCACCTTCATGAATGGAGTGGGCGTGCCAAAATGGAACGTCCTGGTGATGTCACAGGTACCCTCCCTAAAAAGTACCGGAAATATTATTTCGTAAACTTGTATTTTAATCTGTGTTAATCTTCACAGCTTACAAGGAAATCAGACGGTCACAGCTGTATTAAGATACATACACGACATACATGTATAGGTTTATCTATGGTGATGGACTTAGGCGTTAGTCTGTTTCCATTTTGGAGGAAGTATCGTGAAGCAGAAGGTCATCAGATGTAGAAACAAGTCAAGGAATGTTTCTGACAAGACTATGTTTAAAACGAAGCTTGTACAGCCCTACGATCATTTGGCTCCATTCCATCCCCTCTTTAAAAATTTGGTTAAAATTTAGCGTGATCTTTCACAATAATTTGAAAATTAATGTCCCTCCTTTAACTATTCAATCTTCAAGGGATTTTTTTTAAATTGTTGACAATAGCCTTAAAATGATCGTACATTGGTTGTGATCCTTAATGAGAGGGAAGTTAATGAGAGAGGGCGCTTTATCACCTGGCAACAACATCCCGAACAGCTATTCACACACATTTCCATGCGTAAACCCACTGGGCCTTAGACCCGTGGGTTTACGTTTTCACTTCGCCACCGTGCGGAGAAGGGGTTCTTATGTAGAGATCCCAATGTCTAACACACCTTGAATATCAATCAAGGTTTCGCTATCACTTACAAGTACTGGCCTCCGGAGTCCAGAAGGAAAGTACCGGCTTTGGTGACGGGAACGTCAGTTTCCGGTGTTGATCTGATAGAAAAACCAAAAAAATGGAGCTAGCTTAAATTTGACAGCCACAATAATCCATTCTTTGGTACTGTTTCTTACCACCATGGAGAATGTAAACATCATAATGAAGATGCTCATGACTTGCACACATGTGGAATATTGTACCTTTGTTTACTTTGAAAAAAACAAACAAGTGAAGTAAAAAAAAACAAAACAGAACAGATATTACCAGAAGAAAATTCACCAGTTTTATTTCTTGAAGATTTATAAATTTTACAACATTCAGAAGAGATGCACTAATTATAAGTCTGAAAATGTCATTGCGTTCTTTATGTTTATAATTCTCACATAGAACTATTATAAAATCTTCAATCTGGTGAAAGATTTGACCTACGTGTAGTGAATGATAGCACCGTGGGGACCCATGCCAGCGATGGTTCCAAAGCTGAGACCTCGGTTGCTTGCAAACTTCCTGTAGAGAGTCGAGACAGACAAAAAACCCGGGCCTAATAGTACGGGCGATTCACAATAGTGCGCCCCTGAGAGTTAGCAACGCGTTAGCCAATCACGGTGCGCGAAATCTGTCGACCCAATACGCGTTTGCAAAGGGTCGAAAGATTTTGCGCATTTTCGTTGGCCAACGCGTTGCAAACTCTTGGAGGCACCCTATAGTGAATCGCCCGTATTGACACTTTCGATCAGTTTTAGTGTAGCTGAATATTCTTGTATGTAAATTGAATTTTTCGTTAACGACACCCTAATCAGGTGGACGATGTTCTTTACTTACGCTCTCTCATCCACGCACTTTTGCATGACAATTTGTTCACTAATGACTTTGATGTCTCCTGTCATGGGATCCTGCAGGAAGATAAACGAGTAAAACTCTAGAAATGGAGCAAAACATTTAGATAACTGAATAAAACAGGACTTTGATAATGACATTTGGGATGCGAAAAGGTTCAGAGAAAGGAACAATCAGTGAACAAGTCCTGTTTTTGAAATCCGAGTGAAACACTATACACAAGAGCTTCACCAACTATCATGGGCGTTACCAGCATTTTTCCAGAGGGGTTGGGGGTGGCAAAGCACTTTTTCCGGGGGAGGGTGAATTTCCAGGGGAGCACACGTCGAAAACGAATAAAAAAAACTATTCACATTGGAAGGAGGTAATTTTCGTCCGTCCGTCCCACCGTCCGTCTGTCCGTCCGTTCGTCTGTTTGTTTGTTATGCAATTATTTTTTCATTTCTGTTTCAGTTTTTTCCTCATTCTTATTTTCCATTTTGTTTCAGGATGAGGTAAGTGATGCCCATGTAAAAACTTTCCCTCTTAGTCACATTGTCGAAAGTATCTTAATTTCTCGGTGTCGTTTAGGGATGGTAATGTCGGGACATGTTTAGTTGAATTCTGCTGAACGTGTCCCCAAATGTTGAGAAAACCAGGGTCGTTATTCCTGTAAAACAGATGTGACTCTGCAGTGTTTATAAAGCTAACATACGAGGAACACCTACGTCTGTATCAGACAGCCGTTCTACTGAGCTAGAGTCGCACCCAACCAAACAGAATGAGGAACGATTCGGGTCGACCCAATTCAACTTTGCTTGACGATTGACAAACTTTATACGTACATTCACATTGGGTCCGGCCCATGAAAAGAGCGACGTCTAAAACCAAGTTGCGCTATCGATCTTGCACCTTCAAAAAGTCCAATTTTTGCCCTACTTAATTCAAAATTTGCTTTTAAATTGGTTCCATGCGACTCTGGAATGCTGGTCTGAAACAGGGGTTAGATCCAGTAGTTCATGACGTGAAGGTTCAGGTAGGGGACGAACACTGAGGGAATTTTATTTTACCTCAAGGCTGTCTACTGTCTTCTGCATCCAGGCACCAAGGTTACAGAGTGCAATGGAGTCCATGGCCTGTTGGATAAAACATCAGAAAATAATATGTTTCCTGACCAGCATCACAGTGTCTTTATATCTGCACGCACGCGTCATTTATATCTGCTGTACGCACATGCTAGAAAAATCAAGTGCGCCATTGTTCCGTTTGAAATAGACTTGCTTTAGGTGAGCAGTTTTAGCCAAGTTCGAGCAGCGTCCATTTGTCGACTGCTGGTAAATTTTAGCACAAAATAACATTTGGGTACCAGGCAAAGTCAACCAGTGGCTGTCACGTGGTTGTTACTTGAACTTGCTCATTGTTGTCTTAAGTTACAAGGTGGATATAGCAAATCTGAACGCACGTCAATGACAATTACAATTTAGATAAGTAGTGAAAGTGCCAATTCTTCAGCAAACCAGAATTAGAAACAACTACTGCGCTGGCACAACGCTCGTGCACAGGTGGCACAACGCTCGTGGACAGGTGGCACAACGCTCGTGGACAGGTGGCACAACGCTCGTGGACAGGTGGCACAACGCTCGTGGACAGGTGGCACAACGCTCGTGGACAGGTGGCACAACGCTCGTGCACAGGTGGCACAACGCTCGTGGACAGGTGGCACAACGCTCGTGGACAGGTGGCACAACGCTCGTGGACAGGTGGCACAACGCTCGTGCACAGGTGGCACAACGCTCGTGCACAGGTGGCACAACGCTCGTGGGCAAGTGGAACACACGCGTGACATGCTTCTTTGACCAATAAGCCTTTTGCGAGTTAAATTTGAATAAAATCTGGTATACCGAATTCTTTAAATTCTACGAACATAACAATTAGAAGTGTCCATAACAGTCACAGCTTATTAGCACAAGAGACGCCTTGCTACAATACACTGTTCTCAATGGATAAGAAGGGCACAAAGGAACCAGTCCATTCGAAAGATGGTGGTCATTATGCAGAAGCTTGTCCTGAATCTCGAGGTTTAGCAACAGTGCCTGGGGAATTCAAACTGTTTTGTTTATGTGCAATCAGATAATTCAGTGTACTAGATTTTGTTCAGATTTAACTCGCAAATGGCTTTTAGAATGTCTTTGGGCCTGTTCGTTTCACACGGATCTGCCAGGGATCACGATCAGTGATCCCTGAGCTGGTTCACACTATCCATTAGGTGGGTTCTGGTGTCAGTGAACCAACGATGGATCACTGATTTGATTAGTCTATAGACTTTTTTCCCTCCCCTCCGATCCTCCCCCTTTATGTTCTCTCCCGTTCGTCTTACGTGAGCGTCTTCCATGCCCTGCGCTTCCTTATCACTCTTGACTGCTTTCATGAGGAGAAGAGGAGATGCAGCAACGTAGCGATTCTCAGCCTACAGACAGACAAGCAAACTTTTGTGAGCCTTGGATTCCTGCCCAGAGATAATGACTTGACGGACCAGCAAAAATGGTCCGAAAATATACCCAAATATGCTGACATGCTTGGCTGAGAAAGAATTTCCAAATTCACTAAAATAAATTTTTGTCTGATATATCCTTGGATTGTTGATGGATGTAAATACATAATTATTATTTATTTATTTATTTCAAAAACTTTAAACAATTTTAAACAATAATTTCTCCCTGTTTCTCAAACTGAGACTTGAACTGACCGAGATGGATTCGTAGACGGCGTAACTGGCCCGATCGCTGATCCAAATCTTCCCTGCCAAGGTTCGGTTGAGGCTTTGCAAGTCAGCAAAGAAGTCATTATAGTCTTTGACTAACACGCAGGCTGTACAGAGTAAAGAACAAAACAAATCATTGAGATCTCATTGAGGGGATACGGAGTTTAAGAAAGGCATCTTAAAAGGTCTCTTTCAAATTTTTCATTAGTTTTTCAGGTGCTTTCCTGTCAGTATAGTGATGTTTCTCGCTGGGGACTGTGCGCCCCATTCAGATCAATATTGGTATTTCATTTGTCATTTCCTTTTTTCCTTGGTTCCACGTTGGAGTTATTTTCTGTTGATTGAGAACACTTAACAAAAGTGTGACTCGGAGATTTGCTTTAAAAAAATACAGTTTAAATGTATTTGATTCGCAATCATTACAAATTGAATACACGTACATGTACATGAAAATATATGTTTCATTTCGAGTATGCCCAAACAAAATTTTTGTTGATGTTGTCGACATCCTCGCAGTTTCATTTTCTTTGACAGTAATTGTCATTTTGTCAGTAATTGTCACTTTGTCAGTAATTGTCACTTTGTCAGTAGTTCTTGCCAATATTCTTACGGTCTGAAATGCATGAAAGTCCATTCGCATTCACGTTTAAATGAGTTTTCACAGCTGCCGGAACCCTGTCTGTTGACGTGCTGTTGTACAAATACAGCCTGAAAGACAAACAGAAATAGAATGTTTATTTACTTTTGTCAGATATTAGTGCCCAAATTTACATTTTTGCACATCTTAAACCAAATTGACTCTATATATATAGAAAAACTCCAATGAACTGAGATCTGTTTGTCCTACATCTTATTACTAATTGACAAACATTTAAACTGTTTCACAGTGGTTTTTCTGTTCGTATTTGCCAAACTTACCGGGTGTCCGTCTTGGTGACAATGGCATACGAAACGAACATTGGGTTGTATGGCACATCATCCCCCCGAAGATTGAACAGCCCTGAATAAGATCAGAACAGTGAGAATAAAGTATGAGAGATGTACACATGTAAATGGGGGATTGAAACTACAAGCGACATCAGACAGTGTTTTGTTACCCCTGAAAATCATACCTTTTTCCCTTCAGGGTCATTCTGTAAATGCGAGGTCCAAAAGTGTGACATTTTTGTGTCCCAGACACAACTAACCTGCGTAGTTTGATACTGGAATGTCATTGAAATCTACTTCAAACTTGTTTTCTTTGTTTAGCAGGTAATTTGCATTACTTAATCACTCTTTGAAATTAAAGAGTGTGTTGTAAACTTACATAAAGGTGAGTTATGGTAGGGACACGATTAAAAAAAACAGATTTATAAAATGACCCTGCTGTCTGAAGTTTTAAACACAGTGGGAGCCTAAACATCCAATGTTGCTCGAACATTTGTTTGTTTCAAACGACTATGCTCTTCGTTAGGAATATATTGACACTGTTTACAGTGGGATTTCCAGGTCATTTAGTCCCCTCAGACTTCTGTCCCTGTATCAACCGGGGAACACTCCCCACGAGCCGGTCTGTACTCGGAGAGCTTGAAACGAGAAAAGATATTTCCATTCAGGAAGACTTACACGCAATCTCATCTAGTTTGGTAATGACCAGTGCATCTATCGTCTCCCCTTTGACCATCTGTAGTTGTTGCCGAGTGCTGTTCTGGCCGGGCGCGCCGTCTATGACCTTCTGCTGCCACGTTTCACCTGTCGGTAAAATGGTACAGCAGCTACACCAAACTTACGTGGGAACTGAACACCAAGGTTATCGGCGTGTATAAGTGTATTAAACCTTGCTGACCGGGAGATATCAATGGGGATGTTGGAAAATGTGTTTGTGAAGCTAAAGAAAAAAGTTTGCGGGTAACAAAGTATTCAGTATTACACAGATCGTCAGCATGGATGGGATTTTAACCATAGGCTATACGATTGAAAGTAAGGGCAATGCTTATAATGTGACTAAGTTAGACTAAAAGACCAAAGTCCATATAAAGGCCTGTGCTAGATACGAACTAGGATCACAGAGGTAAGTAGAGAATACCTGGTCAGTATGCCCGAATAAATATCAAAATCACAATCCACAGATCTGCCCATGTGGTTCGAACTTGGGTCAAGTAAAGTGCACGGTAGGAATGACGCTTGAATACGTCAACCGGTCTCAGTGATGGGCAGCTAGTGTGGGTGGACCTACCTGTGTATTTCGCTGCATCCAAGATGGTGATCACTGTGTCAGGATTGTAGGGAGGCTGGTCACTCCAGATTGCGTCGATAAGATTGTTGGGAATGGACTTCATGGTTATGGTCTTCGCTGGTTGCTGCTTCTTCAGCTCGGCAGTGTAGTACTCATAGTCACCTGGCGGTGAGAAACACAAGTCACTGACAAGATATGTGTGGCCGGGATTGATGTACTGACAGTCCGACACAAAATCTCAATCAGAGAGCTTGAAAGCAGCAGTGAACATTTCAAAGTGACCAGAATTTCTGATGTTCAGTGATAGACAAAATAGTAAAGTTGGATCCTTTTCCGAATGTTCAGTAATTCAACTTGATAGAAGAATGTAGGGTTTGCTGTGTGTAGCAAGACAGTTTCATTAAATTTGGATCAAACGATTTATTTCAAACTGACTACAGATAAAGAGGACTTGTATGCCCAAACTTTGATGCCTCTTTAAGTGTCCACTGTCGTGAAATATAAAATTCCAGCGATGAAAGTGTCGATTCCAACAAGATTGAATTCCACCAAAGGTTGCCAGGTTACATAGCTTGGATGGAGGCTGACCAGGATCCGTTTCAAGTTCAGCATTATGGTCCAAATGGCTACGTACTGACTGACATCAAGGCGGGGTCAAAGCCTATCTGGTCCCCGTCGCTGAGTGTTTGTGCCAGCCATTCTTCGGGACTTGGGTCGTCAAATGTGGCTCCTACCAAAGAAATAAAATAGGAGGGTCTAAAATGCACCTATAATGGGCCTGGTCTTGGAGGCCTAAATTTCACGTTTTCCAGCCCTTATAATTTTTTTATTGGACATAACAGAAATCAAGAAGTATCATTACCCTCAGAATTAAATAAATATTCAGTACTATCATCAACTATCAGAAAGACTTCGTGGATAAGGTCCTTCCGCCCTTGTTTTATTAATCCACTCATGCCAATCACTTGGAACGACCGACTGGTCACAATTCTGCTTCAGTGAACAAATTAAAGGGGGGAAATGAAGGAAAGATTTTATTCAACAATTGTTACCAATTTTCATGAGGTCCCATTGGCAATCCATCTCTTTCTCTGCTTGCAGGAAGTACCGCCCGTCCGTCCACAGTTTAGCCTCAGAAGCTGTTACCACAGCCAAACCTGATGAAGGAGACACCAAGGTTAATTACCAACTTACGTCCATCGGTAAGCCAAAAAACCTCTTTTACGACTTCAGTAACGTTGAAGGACACGAAACCCTTCTTCAAACAGTGGCGTAGCCAGGGGGCTGGGCTAACATGCCCCCTCCCCACAAATTCCTGACCCCCCACTATTAAAAAAAAACGGATGAATGGATATTGAACAAGGCTAAACTTGCCCCAAAAAAACAATACCACGGAATGCTTGCCCCCCCCCCACGATGCTGGTGCCCCCTTTGTGCCCCCAGTAGTAGAATCCTAGCTACTCCACTGTCACCAAAGTAGGAAAATGTTTGTAAAAACGAGATATAAAGGACACCTGTTTCCTTCCCCCGCACAGCTAACCTCTCCTAGACAGAATCTGGACCAGCCCCAAATCTGATGGTTTATAAAAACACTCACCAGCTGATCCCAGTAAACCCGAAATGAAGGCACGCCTCGTGTCACGCGAGGCTACATATTCACTCTGCGTAACAAACAGAAAAAAACTACCACTCGTAATTTTGGTTTCAAGTCAAATTTTACTCTGATGACGTAATACAATGTTTGTTGAGCGTCGTGGTTTAGTGTTCTCCTTGTTTAATCTTTTGAATGTTTTCATTTTTCCCTTTCATTAACGTAATTCAATGTTAAGTACCATGTGCTCGGTTCTCGAAGAAAACGTTTGAAAAAAAAATCAGCCCTACTGAAAACTCAATGTGCTGCTGTCAAACCATCTGTCGCGTAAAGTGTTTTGATGCAATTGTTTCACCACCCAACAGCACATTTTGTTACTTACAGTTTTTTTGTAAATTCAGGCGTCATTCCGACAGGCGTCATAATTTTTTTCAAACGGCGCGTATGCGTTTCTTTATTAAATATTAATTCTTCACTCAAATAAAACGCCCTATCACATGAAAAGCGGTGTACTTGCCCCATGCGCATCTTCCGATGGGATTATATAAGCAGCGATTCCATTGGATGCCATTTGCGCCCGAAGGTCGCTAACTCGTTGCGTTGTGTCCGTCACCGTATCGGGGAGGTAGGGCGGCTGAAATGGCACAATATCAACAAGATACGGCGTAAATATCTGACGGTAGGGTTCAAGGATTTTCAGAAATTAATATAATTTTCTTACGAATTCAAAAGTTAAGAAGGGGGCTTTTGTTCCACAAATTGCTCACAAACTGAATAAAGGCAAGTGTCCATGCAATCACAAGCAGATTTAGTAATCACTAAACAAGTCAATCATGCTGTGTTTCAGACGCGTAAGAAACAAGCCTAAAATAAAAGGAAACAAATCACGAATTTGCTATTAATCGGTAGGAAAAAACCAAAATCGTTTGAATGATGGGGTGGTATATTTCCACGAGCTACACTCACATTATAATAATCGGAAAATGACTATAGTAATTAACACCAGCAAGGAATGAAGTGAATGTTGAGGGGTAAAGTTTCCTCTCCTTCACACCAACTTGGCGCGAAGGGCAGACTCACGTTGGCAGTGCAGTCTCGTACATCTTCACCGGACTGCCGCCGGACGCGACCACCGCGTTCCCTCTCTGCACCTCCCCCGGACCCGCCGGCAATCGGGCTGGCGGATTCACACAACAACCCTGATAAGAAACACCAGATTCCTGAACTAATTTTCCCCCTTTTTGTACACGCAGCTCTTTCGAAATCTTATCGGTCTTTAAGTCTTTCTCCTGAGGGCGATCAATTAACAAATCGCTATCATCGGAAACGATGAATAGGATCTTTCTTTCTCTACAATATACGTCGGTCGACTTCAAGTTCATCGATCCAAGATCAGTTATTTTTCCTATATAATCGGGAATGTACGAGCTGTCTGGCGGAATAACTGTGAACACTAAAGGGGTTTCGGGGATTTTGAAGATGACTCAGTGAGCTTTTCAAACGATACACACTTGAAGACAACAGGCTTCGTTTTCGGTCGTGAGCCTGTCACGGTGGGTCACGCATAGTTAATTATACCCAGCTGCGAGTGTTTGTACGACTACCAGATACGCCCCCCGGCCCTTCGGTTGTACTCCTCGATCGACCGCCACTAGTACAATCATGGAGGTAGGAACGTGCTACAGGGGCATGCACTTACCGATCGACAGGCCAATCCAACAAACCAACAGATATCTCTCACGCATCCTGGATAGTCCTACTATGTCTTCCCACAAACTCTTACTACTGGGAGATGAAGCAACGTTACTGCCCTTCAAACAGTTCCTTCCCACTGGCACGATTTGGCCACGCGACGCGAGTCGATTTTAGAACTGGGCCTCGGTGGGATCGTACCGTGTGTTAGATCGGAGCGCAGTCTGGTACACCTCCGACCCTGCACTTTGTACTAATTTCAAACAGGTGGGACTTTGACATTTTGGGACCGTCGCAAATTATGGTGTTCCCTATGTGCCATCCGGCGTCGCATTTTTCAGCCGGCGTCGCATTTGTCGGCGGGCGTCGCATTTTTCGACCACCGTCGCATTTTCGGAAAACTTTTTGTGATTTTGTATTACTGACAGCTTCTTTCAACCAAGAAAAAGTAAAATTTCTCTAAGTTTTGGTGCGTGACATTTCTTCGCCAAGAGTAGTTACATTCTAGATTATAGACCGTAATGCGATAAACGCTCCCTCGGGAAGCATGTCTGCAAGATGGCAAATACCATACCAACCAGAGTGAACAATAGGCCTACTATACTGGGTTTGATTTTTGTGGCAACTAGTAATCATCAGTACGGGGACATTTTTCACTCAAAAAGCTTGCACAAGTG